GAATGCTCATCATGACACCCAGGACTCTCACCACGCCCATGATGACCACCAAGGCGCAGACCACTCGCATGGACATTATCAGAGTGTCGAGAAAGCGGCAGATGGAAGGAGAAACTCGCACGGAGGTCCTGGGACGGCAGAGCGCCCCGAGGATCATCCCGCACAGAGTAAAGGCATATCGGCAAGGTTCCGAGCTCTGCGCGATGGAAAGAAGGGACGCGAAAACTCCGAGAGAACAACAGGCGAGAGGACTTCAGGAGACGGTGATTGGTCGCATCAGAGGCGAGTGCAAGGGCCTGGGGAAGATGCGATGGACATGGGAGGACTGCGAGTGGAGGTGGAGTTTGTGAAGAATGAGGACGAAGAGGATGAGGAGGATGAGGGACTCTGGATGGGACCCCGCTCTCCCTCCCGGCTCACTCCGGGGAGATACTGTGTCTCTGACGTACGCCGAGGCTCGTTCGCGGCGGAAAACTGCACTCTTCCTGTGCCGGAGCCGACAACCAGGCGTCGGGCGTACTCTGCCCATGAGCGGCCGCTCAAGTGGCCCCCTGAGGGCGTCATGAGGCGATCCCAGGCCACAGCAGGTGGCTTGCAGGTGCCACAGGGTCCGGCTCGCAGTCGGCATCGCTCAGAGGCGGGAAGAGAAGCGTTGTCGGAGGAGACAGGCCTTCAAAGCACTTCACTGGCGCTAGCTGTTAATTCCATGGCAAGGGCTCGGCAAGGGCTGGTTGAAGAGCCCCGGAATCAGAAGGACTCTGACGTTGGTAGTCTGGAGAAGGTGCAAGAGTCTGAAAGAGCAGGTGCCTTGGGGTCGGGTTCGGTGGGCGAGGAGTCGGTGTTGTCTTCGGCTTCCTGTTCGATAACCTTTTTGACTACCTCCTCGGCAAGCTCTTCCGCTTCTTCTTCGGCCTCCTCTTCAGCTACGTTTGTTGCCGGCGAAGTTAGCTGTGATAGCTCCTCGTCAACAGCCACTGAAGGTCGAAGTAAATCGACAACCGCATGCCTGAAAGCGAAGCTCAGTGCTGAAAAGCGTCGCGGTAGTGTGGTCGAACGCCTGAGGCAGTTGTCGGGACGAACTGGCCGCGGGGTGGATACTGACAACGCCATCTATCCTCGGTCAAGGGAATCTGAGTCTGACCAGTTGTCCTCGAGAGACCGAAACTGCAGTAGCGACGGGCAGGAACGAACGAGTGAAGGTGAACGTATGAAGGGAAGAGGTGGTGGACCAGAAGAGGTGGAGGAAAGAGGAAGGGCATCCACGCAACGTGGAGAGTGTGTCAGTACAGAGTCGTCGGATACGAGTGCAGCAGGCGATAACTCTGAGACTCGTCTACCGGCTTCTTGGCGGCGCTGTCTACCAGCCCGACTGCGTCGTAGATGGCAGCATCGCCGACGTGTTCGTCGTATTCCGACGCCAGTGCCCGCTTTCTGGCAAGGTTTTAAAGAGTACGGCGTGGGCACGTTGCCTCGCTTCGTAGCATCCTGCCGCCAGAAAAGCCCCGCCGCGCGCCGTCGCGCAGCTGCCGCTCGTCGCTGGCTTCTGCGCATGCGTCGAGCGGATCGGGAACCCAAACAAGCATCTGATTCCTGCGCGGAATCTGAAGAAAATCCACCGACAGCGAACGGCTCGGCGTCCTTGCCAGCCGTAGATGCTTCCTCGTCAGCAACAGAGGGCGATGGCAGCACCACCTCTTGGCTGTGCACGGTACCAGGCAACTGGTGGCGCCACCTATACAGTATGTGCTGTTCCGCCACTACCTCCACCGCCGAGCCAAGCCCGCGTCGTGTTCACCGTCTCTCGGGTCCATGCCAGTGTGAGCACTGTGAACCTTCGCCTCCGGTCAACACCAGCGCCTCTAGTGGCCGCCTGACGCAACTCTCCGGCTGGTGGTCGGCGGCTGCAGCTGCGGCGGCAGAAATGGTCTCTAGGCTTGGAGCTACCGAAAAGAAGGCAGTTGTGGCCGCGACGACGCTTGAAGAACCGGTTGAGGAGGTGACATTGAGCAGGTACCTACAATGGGAAGTAGGGGATCTAGGAGCCTAGGGACTTACCAGTCGCTGGGTCTTACTTACATTTGTTTTTTTTTTTTTAATCTGCCTTCACTTTGTTTTGCGATGAGACAGTGCATCCAGACAGACTTATTTACCTAGGCTGTTGATTTGTTTGCCTGATAGTGATGAACTGTCACAATTAGTTGGATCGCTGAGAACTGTTTGATTAGCGAAATGAGGCTGAATAGTCAATGTAGAGGAATGGTTATTGTCGGGATAGTGTCGGATGGTTGAGAGCGAATAACAAAACGTCAATGGCGAGGAAAGCAGAAGGCAACATTAATGATGTAGAGAATTGATGGCTCCCTACATTACAGTACACATAATAGGGTCTATTAATTTTGTCTCCAGACTAAATACGATTGCCTCAGAAATTTCATCGATGTGCATTGGTTTACGTATGACATGAATATTATCATCCCCCCACAAATTTCAATGGAATGTGTTATCCGTAAACGCACGAGCGCGAACAAACACATTGCTGACTGTCTTCCGAGTTTTTACCTAAAAAGCAGTGAACGTCTACATGAGGCTCATCCGTCTTTGTCCTCTGATGGACCCTTTTCCTGGTCAATCGTGCAATAACCGTTTGACCGAACGGGTTTTCAAATGCGTTTGAATCTACACACATTTTTTATCTTATGATTATTTTTATTGCGTGGTATTTAAACTTCGTGCTCCAATAAATCCACTGTCCTGACTCCTGGCTGCCTTATGTATGCTTCTGCTGACTATCTCATGACCCCGCCTTGTGACTCTTGCCCTCAGCACCTTTGACTCTGACTCAGCCGTTTGACTCTGACTCCCCCGTTTGCCTTCGACAGGGCGGAGAAGTCTGAGGTGCTGACGGAGGACCTGGCCGCGTCGGAGCGTCGTGTAGAGAACCTGCGAGCCAGCTGCGGAGTCATTCGAAAACGACTCACCGAGTCACTCTCGGGACATGGCTCCGATGATGACTCCAAACGACTGGTGAGTAGACGGCGGGTCTCAACGGTGGAGTTAAAACTTAAAAAGTGCCGGCCGCAGGGGCTACTTCATCTTATATACAATATACCTTCTCTGTAATATCTAGAGCTGTGCAGGAGTAGGTTATCCAAACGAATGTGAAGGACGGAAGTTTTTTTTTCTTGCCTTCATTGTATTTTAAAGCCATGCAAAGGGTATCTGTTGCACTAATTAGCTCTTTTTTTGTCCTTATGCATTTATCTTTTTTCTTGCTTCTGATGTTTTTACTTGCAATGTCATTTTATACCGTTTTTGGGCATTTTTTTATGTTACAATATTAAACGAATGCTTTTTACAATATCCAATAAATATTGTAGAAAACGCACATTGTAAGTGCCTTAATTATTTATTATGCATTTTCTAGTTTTCTTTACCATTTTTTCGTTGAACTTCAAATAAAAATCGTATTTGCTCCTGGCCGCGTTTTAGGCTCAAGCATTCCCTATTGCCCTCCAAATCTTCGATGAGGCTTATTATCTCGTTTTATTGTGTCTGATATGGCAAATCCTCGCCACAGATGATACACGTGTGTATGTGTGTTTGTTTCAGCGGAAGATGCAGGAGCATCAGCTCGGGGCGGCCATGAAGGAGGGAGCCGGGCACGTCGGCGCAGAAACCATGCTCGGGTCAGTAGCGGTCAGCCCTGGGTCGGGGTCAATAGACGGACTGGGAGTAAGGGAGAAACGATGGGGGACGAGTGTGGGTCTATGCCAGGATCTGTGGTGGGTCGAACACTTGAATCAGGGTCTACGAGTATAGTCTGACGAGTTGTATTGTTATAATCGTTTTCCGAGTCGTTTATTAGGCTTCGGAGCACCTGTAATGGTAGTTCAATAAGATTCCTCGTCCCTGCATTCTACTAGCAAAGAAATCAATTTATACACAATTACACAATATTGTGAGGTGCGAAAGACTTTCTCACACCTACCTAACTATCCTAATATCATCTAATCGTTCTCCCACCGCGCCATCATGTCTGGTATAGTACAGTAGTCAGTAGGTCTACAAAATAAGTCCCCGCCGTAAGCGGGTCACCACTCACCAGTGGGCAGTTAGCGCCTGAGCGCTACTCAGGCGCCACCTGCCCGCATACGGAGAGGACTTATTTTGTAGACTTACGTTCCAGTAATCTCTCCTCCTTCTCTACTGACCCCTCTGCTGATCTCTCCACAGCGCCATCATGTCTGAATGCGGCGAGGCTCAGCTGCGTCTGGCCGGAGAGCGGCTCGACTATGAGCGGGCCCTGGAGCAGACCGTGCTGGACAACAGCGTGCTGCAGCAGCTGCTCGACACGGACATACCCAACGTCACCAAGCTGAGGAAGACGCTGGCCAAGCTCACCCTGGATATGGATGCGTCGAGGAGCAGGTGAGGGGATGTAGGAAAAGGAGAGGGTGAGAAGAAAGGGAGGATTGAAAGTGTCATGGTGGGGGCTGGTGGGGCCGTGGTATGAGGCAGTGAAGAGTAAGTGAGCTAAGGTGGGAATTTGGGAAGTGAAGAGGTAGACGGGGGTAGCTGTTGTAGTTTCATTGCATCACTTGTTTTTATACAGGGAAGGCCCTCCTGTTATGGTTTGGCTGTATCGATTGTTTAAAATTAAAAGGTTCATATTGGGGCAGATAAAATGGACCAGGCAGTTCACGTTGCGCTTATCTGTTAGTTCTATCAGGCAGGCTGTTAAATTGTCCTATAAACTTACCTATCAAACAGTCGGTACCACCTTGACTAAACTCATGCAGCGGAGGTGGGTTTTCAGTTTTCTTGTCAATGATAATCCAGGGAAACACACACGACTTTATGTTTAATGCACAGCGCACACCTTCCATAACCCGCATGAACATTACAAACCAGGGCTGCGGAGTCGGAGTCGGAGTCGGAGTCGGTCGGAGTCGGTCGGAGTCGACAGTTGTGACCGGAGTCGGAGTCGATTTTAGAAACCCGAGCCGGAGTCGGAGTCGGAGTCACCGAAAATCTGTCGACTCCGCAGCCCTGCTAGGTCTGCGGAGTCGGAGTCGGGGGTTGGAGTCGGTCGGAGTCGACAATTCTGCCCGGAGTCGGAGTCGGAATCGGAGCTGGTTTTTGAAAGCCGGAGTCGGAGTCGGAGTCGCCGAAAATCCATCGACTCCGCAGCCCTGTTACAAACCCTCCTCCTCCCTTTGTGTCTGCCAGGTACCAGAACGCCCAGCGTCACTCGGCTGGCCAGGTGGGAGCGGCCGGCTCACAGCAAAAGGTGGAGGCCACGCGCGACGAATTGGAGGCGGCCCAGGTCAAGGTCGAACAGCATAGGGTGAGTGACAAGGGGTCAACGGGGGTCAACATGGGAGAGGAGGTCACTAAGGGTCACCAGGGTTGACTGGAGATCGCGCTAGGATCACAAGAACATCGCTAGGATCACTAGAGAGGGGTGCGTCTTACACATAGAGATGGTGGTGGTCTTCTGGTATCAAGTCATGGCGAGTAAGAGATGCGCACTTATGTGTGTTATTTCGTATCCATCCTTTGCCACTGTCAGCGCTTTTAACATGCGTTATTACCAGTTAAACGTTTGAATATTTCTATTTATTATGAGCTTACAAACGCTTCACGCAGGCTATCATAAAAAAAAAATCATTGCAGTTCCACACTGTTGGCAGCTGGCTTTAGTTTTGTTCGCTTGAAACCAATACGATTGCGTAGCTTACGCTTGCGAGCATAGTTTTAGCTAGTCAACGGCTATTCACACCGATATTTGGACCACCGTCTGTAAAGTGGCAGCTGCGTGCTTACATGCCGTGGCTTTGTATCGCTTGTTTGCCCTGTCTGTCATCTCACGTGTCTAAGTGCCGTTATCCAGTCCGTTCTAAGTCACGTTTTATGTCGCTTACCTTTTCACCTGATTACCACATACGCTACATTACGTTACGTTGGTTACGTGACTTTTCCACATTTTCACCCAGGATGACGTCTAAACGTTTCTTTTTACGTCACGCATTTGTAATTTGCGCCTACGTCACGTAATACATTGACATATTCTGGTAACACATCTTACGTTGCGTCTTTTTCTACTTCTCATCTATTTCATGTTTTTGTCGTTACGTTCTTTGCGTTGCCTCCCCCTTGATGTATTTATGTGTGGAGTATTTACGTCACACATCTACTTCACATAACCAGTATCCACGTCACTAAATCTACGCCACATCCCTTTACCACGTCCCTGCGCCCGCTCTGGTGTCCCATTGTGTGTCTGCTGGCTCGCTCATAACCGCTATTTGGCTGTTGATGACAGCGCTCCCGTACGCGCTCCAACGTAAGTAGTGCCCTCTCGTGGAGGGTCGTATGACGCACCTGAAGCCCACTGACTAGAGCGAGTGCCTGAGAGGGCTGTATCATGTATGGCGCAGGCATGGCAGGATAGGATGTCTGTGCTGAGTTGATGTGTGCTAGTGCTGGCTGGATTTTAAGATGGCGCATGGCTGGCAAATTTTGGCTTAGCGCGACTGGCAGGCTCTAGATTTGAAAGTTGTTTGATGATGGGGTCCGTTGGTTCTTTTGTTTAGGTCGGATGTTTCCGATTGGATTTTTTTATAAAGGGAACGCCTTTAAATGATCCTAATTAGTGAGTCTTCACTTGACGTTGAATGTTTTAAGCGAGCGTGACGTTGAATGTTTTTAAGCGAGCGTCTGATACTTTTGTGTAATGTTCGCTACCTTTTTCCATATTTAGAGCGCACCTTTTCTGCTTGCTCATTGTCAATTATGCGTCACCACACGCTTGCAAGACATTTTACACCGCTGGTAACTTTTATGTCACATATTCCATGTGCTCTTTTTTGTCCTGGCAAACATTACACAGCAATTCATTTCACCTAAACAACAATGCTTGTATCTGAACATTCATGGCACTTTTGCTATTGCCAACATTTTTTCCCCTTTTTGCACTTCAGTATTGTGTGAAACTGCCGATGTCTACGCTGTACAGACTGAAATCCCTACCTTTTCCAAACGCTGTTTCTCATATCTCCCAGCTGGCTCATCTCTCTATCATATCATATTATCATCTGTCAGCTCATATCTCTCGATTTTCGACACTGCTTATTGGTGTTACCTGCGAGTGCCATAATAGCTCGTCTGTGACTACATGTAGGCGGGTGAAGGCAAAAGCTCAATCGACCTTAGCTGAAGTCACTGCTATCTTACTTGTCTGCCTATTGTGTGCTTTTGATTCCTCCGAAAACCTGTTTTCATGCCATTTTCTTTGTGGCTTGTTTTTTACACTTAGATCGCCGAAATTCATTTGAAGTAACCACTTTGCAGCGGTATTCCCAGGCTGCAGGCTTACTGGTTACTGATGTAAAGAGCAAATAACATTGTCTGGAACGCTGACAAAGTGTCATAACTGCGTATCGTAGTCTGAACCAGCTTTTGAACTCGTTTGACCTTGACCAATGACCTGACCTGACTTCTCTTACAGTGATCAGCCCTGAACTGATCTGAGCTTACCCGTGCAGCACGCTGGGACACACGATGATGACCTTAGTTGACCTCACACTGACCTTCTCTGCCCTCTCTCCCCCAGGACACCCTGGCCGGCGACATGTTTCAGTTACTGAGCCGGGAGCCGGAGCTGGCCCAGCTGCTACTTCATCTGGTGAAACTTCAGACGGAGTACTACCGGAGTAGTCTACAGCTGCTGGAGGGAACCATACCGGCACTGCAGGCCAGCCTCAGTGAGATTAGGGAGGATGGGGGTCAGATACAGGGGGGGGGGGGCTTAGTCAGATATAGGGGACCATACCGGCACTGCAGGCCAGCCTCAGTGAGATATAGGGGGGGGAGGGGACCATACCGGCACTGCAGGCCAGCCTCAGTGAGATATAGGGGAAAACGATCAGTGATAGGGGAGCCCAAATCAGAGATAGGGGAGAATTAGCGAGACTCTCCGGCATAGGGGAATTATATGTAGTTTTTAGTGATAGAGTGTCGGTGAGACGTGGGGATTCTCAATATCTCTATATCAATATCTCAATATCAATAAGTGAGACACGGGAAACAGCCTTAGTGAGACTCTGAGCTAATCTCGTGAGATGCGGGGAGTAGCTTGAATGAGACCCGAGGATAAAGATTCAGGCAAGCAGGGGAAGCTGCTCTAGTAAGAAGCGGGGGGACGATAGTTTCAGTGTCTTGGTGTGAAACTGGGGAAAGGTTCAATGGGACGGGGAGTCGCCAGTCATCGCCCCCTTCAACCCCTCCCCTCTCTTAACCCACTAACTCAATCGCTCACTCATTCACTCACTCACTCACTCACTCACTCCCTCACTCACTCACTCACTCACTCAGTCGCTTACTCACTCACTCCCCTCCCTCTTCCACAGACGCGGCGGCTGTGAAGCCCGTGTTCGGCCTCTCGCTGGAGGAACACCTGCGGGTCTCTGGTCGCCAGGTGGCCCTGCCACTGGAGATGTGCATCTGTCGACTGCTGCAGATCGGGGCGGACGAGGAGGGACTCTTCAGGGTGGCCGGAAGTGAGTATAGGGACGGGGAGGGCTCTGGTAAGAAATAGAAGTAGGAGAGGGAGGGCTCTTCAGAGTGTCTGAAAGTGTGCGAGTTGAAGGGAAGAGGAGAGGAGGATCATTTTTTCAAGTAACTGGGACTGAAGCTTCGAATTTTCTCCACAGCCGTAATCTAGAATAGAAGAATGGACACAGAATGAGCACGAGTGAGTACTCCTCGTGGCGCAGTGGATTTATAGATGAGCTGCCTGCCTGTCTGTGTCCTATGAATCGTGAGCTCGACTCTTGAGAGTGTACTTTGTTTAATCGGCTTTGTTATTCAGGTCAGCTGGCAACTAACAAGAGCAGCTAGAACTGGCTGACAAGAGTGGAAGAGTCAGGCTGAACACAGGCGTACCGTATCGTAAGTCCACTTTTCCCTTGAGCCATACTCACGCCCTTCCCCTTTCACCAGGCACCTCCAAGGCGCGGAAGCTCAAGTCGTGTTTTGACGCCGGGTTGGCCAGTCCCGAACACATGCACGAGTATTTGGACGCCCACGTGGTGGCCGACGCGCTCAAAGCGTACCTCCGAGATCTCCCGGAGCCCCTGATGACCACCGATTTCTATGATGACTGGATGGCTGCGGCGCATGTTCAGGTATGGCAATGCTCGGAAGGCTGATGAATAGATGAGTTAATATTTAGAGGTAGAACTGGTGTAATAATCTATAGGGCGCTGTGTTTCACGGCTCTCCAGCCCGCTGCATGTTGCAGAGATGAAGATGTGTTTTGTATAAATTGATGTGAAAGTTAGGGAAGATACTGTGATTTTTGTATCTCCGTCGGACCCGACATTTGACCCAGCCTGGTACCCTAGCACCTCGACTGGGCTTTGACACTTCCAATATCCCTTACTGACACCATTAACCCGTTTGACTCTTCAGGACGAGGGCCAGCGACTGCAGGCGCTGTGGCAGGTGCTTCACCAGCTGCCGGAGACGCACTACACCAACCTGAGGTACCTCATCAAATTCCTGGCGCTGCTCTCCAAAAACAAACAGGTATGCGCGTGAGCGACAGATGGTTTGGAACTGTGAGGTTGATCAGAAATAGGATCCAATGAAATAATTACGCTGATATCCGAAGCCGAGCTGGTACTGAGCTGAACTCAGTGAGCTCCGCAGTATTTTTTTTTTTAAGAATAATTGGCCGGAATGTGTCTTATTTGACTCACGATGTTAATGCTGAGTTGAGTCTAACGATAAAGTCCTGTTGTTATGATGCTGGGGCTCACTTCTAGCCTTTTCCAATAATCTGTAATTACCAAAACCGCTTTTGCACGATTGCGCTATCGCCTCATCACTCTCGCGATATTTTGCCTCGAAATATTTCACCGTTATTTCCCTCCCACAGGTGAACAAAATGAGCACGCAGAACATTGCTATCGTGATGGCTCCGAACCTGCTGTGGACCCGCCTGGAGGAGGGTTTTAACATGACGGCCACGGGCACTCACAGTCTGGTGGTGGATTCGCTGATACAGCACAGTGATTGGTTCTTCCCAGAGGGTGAGTAAGATGGAGAAGAGGGACTGGAAGGGTAAGAGGGTTTGAGGGAGAGAATAAAGGAGTCAGTAACGGTCCTGAAGGGGCCGCATAGAATTTGGGAATGGTACAGAGTGGAAGAAAAATTGAAAATGGGGGCAGAGGGAGCTTTAACCCTCGCCCGTATTGGTGTTTTTCCAGCCGCGAACGTATAAGGGGGGGGGGGTCCGTTGGACCCCCCCTTGCCGTTTCGCCCCTGATCAAGCTAGAGCTTCGCGGAAAAAACGAGCGTGTTGCCCGTGACGAGAGGAAGCCGATGATACCCAATTTTAAGGTCCTAGGTCATTGGTTGACCTTGCAGGTCAGGTCAATGACCCCACAGGCGGGAAAATCGGGACCTGTTAGAACGTCGTAAAGTGTGGCTGCTATGGGGTTTTTCGGGGTGGTGATCACGAATATCATGTTAGTTTTGATCACAGATGATGTCTTAATGTATTTAGGCCAGGTCGGGTCAGGTCAGGTCAGGTCAACCAGTAAGGGTATTCGTAGTAGGTGGCAACCGCCTCTGACAGCTTCGTAACATGTTACGAAGGCACCAAAACTACTTCGTAAATGTTCATATGGTTGCTAAGTTCGAATTCAGCTCCAAAAACTGGCCTAGAAACATGTAAAATTCGAAAAAGTGAACCGAGGTCATCAAAGGTCAATGACCTGACCTGACCTTCAGGTGACCTTGACACCCACCCTAATGCATGGGGGCAACATCATATCACATGTTTGAACGCTTGAAACCACGAAAAGACTGCAAACGCGCGGCTAATGCGAGCCGACACGCCGAATCGCTATTCCAGCCAAACATGGTCTCGAAAAGTAGGTCACAGGTCAAAGGTCATTTGGGTCAGGGTCATGAAATTTTCAGGGTAGGTGTGAAATTGATGAACGCGAGGGTACTGAAAGTTTCGTCGCGATCGGCCGCTTTTTACGCGAGTTATTCGCGAAAAACCATGGGGGGTCCGTTCGACCCCCCCCCCTATACGGGCGAGGGTTAAATAAGTTTTTTTTGTGTCGATATGAAATATGTTTTAGGGTTTGGAAGAGGCTGGAGCGCAAAAAGGGTTGAGGTGTTCTGGACATAGAAAAATGTTGCTGCTTTTTTCATCATATTATTAGATTAACACATTATCCATAACCTCGTGCTGGTAGCTCGGGCACAGTTTACTCAGGATCGTATGGCGAAGGGCGGAGAGGTTTCTTTCCTGTTAACGCTTCATTTATATAAATACATCTTTCAGAGGTGGACTTTTTCATCACCTACCCCCGTGAAGAACCCGCTGAGGTACCCCCGCCGGCGCCGGCACCGGACTCCCCCGTGCTCAGCAATGGATCCGTCCGCTCCTCACCCGGCCACCATAGGAGCAAGAGCAGCGACAGCGGCGTGGTAGCAGTGGACTCGTCCGGTGTGGGGGAGTCCGCATCGGGCAGCACCGCCAGCCTCACCTCGTCAGACCCCAGGTGGGTTTCAAGAGAAGGGAGTCATAACACGGGAAGGGGTAGCTTGAGATGTTTTTGAGCTTGCGTGTGTCATGTCTCCTATGCATTCGTCAGTCCTCCTTCCTTTACCGTTCTTCCTGTACAGCCTTCTCTATATTTTCACCCAATCTTTCTTCATTCTTCTTTTGTTTTTCCCTATTTTCTTTGCCATTTTCTCTTCCCTAGTTTTCCTTGCCTTTTGCCTGCCTTCCTCCCAGCGCCTCTTCATTTCTCTTTCTTCTACTTTATTTCTCCCTCCTCTCTTTCTTTCTCCTTCCTTTCGTCTTCTCTCTGCCTTCTTCATCCGGCCGTGAGAGACCAGCAAGTGACCTTATTTCACACACAGCATGTAGCTAACTCCATCCCCTCCCCGTCATTTCAGCGTACCGCACTGTGAGAGTCCCCGGCCAACCATGCGGCGCAAGAAACAGGCAGCTCCACCGCCACCTACACATCGGCAAACCATCGCCGCCCCCGCCCCCGCCCCCGCCTCCGCCTCCCGGGCGGACCCGCCACCGGCGACGGAGCCAGAGGCGGAAAACAAACCTGATCACACCGCAAAGCCAGAGCCGGCGACTTCAAAACCGGAGTCAGTGGCCAAGCCTGAGTCTGGTGTCAAACCAGAGCCTGCTGCAAAGCCAGAACCTGCAGCGAAGCCAGAGCCTGCAGCGAAGCCAGAACCTGCAGCCAGGCCAGAGAGTGTAGCGAAGAGCGAGGGCTCCTCTGTGAAGGCTGACCCGGCAGTATCCGCTGCCGCCGCCGCCACCGCCGCCGCTGCCTCCCGGGCTGGTGTGGATTCAGACTCGGGTCGCTCTCTGGCCGATCTGGTCCAGAAGTCGGCCGCCATCGCCGCCGGAGCCGCCAGCGCCGCGGCCGCCGTCTCTGCTGCCGCCGGCTCCGGCGCTCCGGCGCGGCCCGAGCCCGTGCGGCCGGCGCCCCCGGCGGGCCCGCCGCCGACAGCGCCGGCTGGTGGGGGGACGCCGAACCACGCGGAGACGGGTGCGGGCCATCCGGTGCCGGCACCTCGTGTGGGAGGCCAGCCGGCGGCGTCGTCCGCGGGGAAGACGCCGAGACCTGATCGGCCGCCGCCACCGGCTAAGGTGAGAAGGGGGCGGTTTGGGCTAGACGTTTGGAAACTTTATTGGCGGATGCTCCATTGGGTGATGCTGATACCGTGATGATATTTAATTTTGGTATGTAGCCAAGGAAGTGCTTTATATGTTTGAGGGCCTTTATAATTGAGACTGAGTGCTTTCAGAGGCAAGTTTTCTTAGAGTGACGCCCTTTCCACACTTGTCTTAGTCATGACAATGCCTTTATTCGTCCCCTGTCCCCGCTCGCCGTCTAACTCGACTTTTGTCTCCATTGCACCAGCTTGTGGAGCGGGCGTCGAGCTTTAGTCCGAGCGACACTAGCGGCACGCAGCGGCAGAAGCCGGCACTACCCGAGCGGCCCGGTACCCTGCGAAGGACGCCGCGAAACTCGGCAGAGGTAGGGTGACGTCACAAGGGGGACGGAGGGAGCTATCAGGAAAGGAGTGGGTGGGAAGGGGCTTAGATATTACAGTGGGAAGGACGGGGACTTCTTTGGGAAGCCTTAAGGGTCAATGTGGCACGTACTAAATATCAATGCGGTGTGGGATAAATATGCTGAGACGCGAATGAAAGATATAGGGGCGTTACGGTCCTCATAGCGTTGGTTTGAAAGGTTCAGTTAACTCCAAGCCTGCTCGAGTAACCAAACAGTTTGTCGTATGTAGTGTGTATTTAGAAGGGGACTTCTCCTTTTAACACGTCTGCCTTTGGTACTTAATGTCGTGCCTGTCCTGTCGATAGCTGTCGTCCAAGGACTCGGCGTCATCGGATGTTTCCACGCCGCCGTCAGCGGATGGGCAGCCAGGTGAGGACGAAGAGGGGAGGGGAGGGGAGGGCGGGAAGAAATACATGAATACATAAATAAGTACATCAACATAAAAATCATTAATACAAAATGCATGAATACATAAGCACATTCAACATACTAAACTACATAAATACATACCAACCAAATAAAATAAGAATGAAAGGAGGGATGAAGGAAAGAGGAAAGAATGAAGGAGATTGAGAGAAACAGAAAGATATAAGATAAAAAAGGAATGACAGATTAAGAGGGAAGGAAAGATAGAAAGAGGAGGAGAGAGCTGCACGTGCGTGAAGTGCAGGAGGGAGTTCATGAAAAGTGGTGCAGGGCAGAGTTTATGAGATATGATAGAAAAGGAGGGAGAAAACAGGCGATAAAGATAGAGTGGTGAACATGAGTGAGAGTAATGCAGGGGATTGGAGCTTGGGATGTCCGAGAAATCGGGAGATATTCGGACATAATGGTGCTGGTACACAACTAACTTTGGGATGAACACAATCGTGAGTCTGAACGTCTTCCTTCAATATTCAATCGTTTCATATTTTAGAATTTCCTACCGTTCATCCTTACGATAAAAATGAGCCTGGTAATTGTTCACTACCAATTTGCAGTTGACCTCTGCTTCTACCTTTTCAGAAATCAAATGGATTTTCATATTTAATAATTCCTTCTGGAGTGCGGCCATCTACTGACAGTTTCCCGTACCTGTGTTTCAGCCGGCGCGCCGCCGCCAATCGGCTGGGCGGTACCGGCGGCGGCGGGGGCGGCGGCGGCCGAGCCCCGGCCCCGCCCCCGGCCCACGACCCACCCACCGACGGCGCCTCCCCCCGTGCCGGCCCCGCGAGCCGCCGCAGCCACAGCGACAGCGGATACCACACGTCTGTGACGTCATACGACATACTGATGACGTCACGGTGGTGATGGCTCGCGTCTGTGATGTGACAGAGTGACTATGACAACTGATGTGGCGATGAACAAGTCATGACGTGAACAAGACGTGATGTGGCGCCTTCATGACGTGATGATAGGTCTTGTATAACGCACTGTTATATAACTATCCAGTGACGCCTTTAGCGCTTGAAGACCACGTCACAAAATGGACCATGCGCTATGCTTTTGGGCGTCATACGTAACGTTTTGTGACCAATGTGACGGTCATGACCGTGACGATCGTGACGGGAGGGAAGGCTAAGCTCGCATTCCTCTCTGTGATAGGCGTGACGCACGCTGTGGACCAGTCAGTACACGTGGCGTCCCTTGGCGTTCCGTGGGAACCCGTGGCGTCCCGTGGCGACCCGTGGTGCTCTCTGTCGGTTATATATCCTGTCAAAAAGGTCGTCTGTCTACCGCTGGGTTGTGTCTAGAGCGATGACCCGGTGAAGTCACGTGCAGGGCCGCGTGTGTGACGAGAGCGCGTGTGTGCGTGTGGGCTTGTGATTATGAAAACCGGTTGGTCGCTGGCGCGGGTCATTGCCCCCTGATGCTGCGTTGGCGGAGGCGGCGGCGGACCTGGATTTCGTTCAGGTTCTTTTCCAGGTTTGGTTCCCGACCTGGTTCCAGACCTGGTTCCGGTTCTAGTTCCGCTATAATCCCGCGGTAACTAGGCCAGTGCACGGCTTAGAGCTTCTGTCAGTGCGACGGGATCTAAAGCCTCCACCGCCCCGCCGCCGCCCCCGCCGCCGCTGTCTGCTCTGCTACAGCGCTGCAGAATTGCCAGCCTTCAGCAGCAGACATGCGTCCTTCAGACGCGGCGCGTAGTTCCCGCAGAGACCGACAGGGCGGCGCCACTGTCGCCTCAGCCGCGAACCTATATTTATATGTATCCGCTCTATGTCGCCGCAACTGTAAAAGTGCGGCGTATTTAACGCACAAGCGGCGCTGAGTACCATGGTGCGGGCCGTCAGTCTGCCTTTGCGATCGTTTTTGCTTTGCTTGAAATGTCTAAATGTTGTTGAATACTGATTTTATACGGATTCGTATAGCCTATCGCGTGATCTTTGTCGAATCGTGATGCTATCAACACAATATACGCAAGTATTCTATATACCTTCGTTTGGTACTTAGGTCGCGCTTCGGAGTTGAGCTCACAATAACGTAGTTGGCAGTGTGCGATGGATTGATCGAGAGACAAATTTTGGGGGCATAATGACCCAACTGTTCAAGATCCCCTGATTTACCTCTTAGCCTTGTTTCTTCTCTCAGAGTCCAGTATGGGCTCTCAGAAGCCAGCATGGGATCTCAGATGCCAGTATGGGATCTCAGCTGCCAGTATAGGGCTAGTATGGGGCTCTCACAGGCCAGTTAGTGGGCTGTTACAAGCCAGTATGGGACTCCCGGAGGCCAGTATGGGTCGCTCATCAAGGCCAGTATGGGGCTCACAGAGGCCAGTACGTGAGCCTCAAAGGCCAGTAAGTGGGCTGTTACAAGCCAGTATGGGACTCCAGGAGGCCGTAGGCCAGTATGGGTCGCTCAGAGGCCAGTATGGGACTCAGAGGACGCCAGCATGAGACTCTCAAAGCCCAGTATGGGGCTCTCTGAGTAGGTAAGTATGGGGCTATCAGAGGCCAGTATGGGGCTCTCAGAGGCCACCACGGGTCTCTCAGAGGCCAGTATGGAGCTCTCAGAGGCCAGTATGCGACTCAGAGGCCAGTATGCGACTCACAGAGGCCAGTATGGGGCTCTCATAGGCCAGTATGCGACTCACAGAGGCCAGTATGGGGCTCTCAGAGGCTACTATGGGGCTCTCAGAGGCCAGTGTGGGCTCTCTGAGGAGGCCAGTATGGGGCTATCAGAGGCCTGTATGCGACTCACAGAGGCCAGTATGGGGCTCTCAGAGGAGGCCAGTATGGGGCTCTCAGAGGTCAGTATGGGGCTCTCAGAGGCCAGTATGGGGCTCTCAGAGGCTAGTATGGGGCTCTCAGAGGCCAGTGTGGGGCTCTCAGAGGAGGCCAGTGTGGGGCTCTCAGAGGAGGCCAGTGTGGGGCTCTCAGAGGAGGCCAGTGTGGGGCTCTCAGAGGAGGCCAGTGTGGGGCTCTCAGAGGACAGTATGGGGCTCTCAGAGCAGTATGGGGCGCTCAGAGGCCAGTACGAGCCATCAGCCTCGCCCCTCACGTAGGGCGGTGTGAAACCCTCAATGGACGTGACGTTATGGGGCATTGAGAGGGCAAACAGGCATGAGGGACCTGTAATAGTTTATAGGACCAATGTGAGGTCCTCAAAGCCGACAGGGCTCTCAAAGACCACTAAATGGGCCCTCAGGCCTCAAAGGCCAAAAGAGGCCCTTGAGGACAGTAATCGAGCGATAAAATTATATAGAATGCTGTAGATTGTAGAGCCATAAAACATAAAAGGAGCCGTAATAGATGCCGATGGGGCCTCAGAGCGCTTGGAATGGTGCCCACAGAGACCAGTATGTGCCCAACGAGGCGGTGTCGGTGTCGAGACCGGTGTGAGGTATAAGAGGCTAGTTTGGGGTCATCGAAGGCAAACATTTTCCTCAAAACATGGCGAACAAGGCAAACAAGACCTGCATGGAACCCCAGACACACCTGTGCCGTCCCCAAACTTCTGATGTGGGTGCTTCACAAATCACAAGTTTTGCCAGCTGCCAAAGGCCGATGTGGGTCAGCTTCAGAGACCAGTACCGGCAGGGAAAGGGGCGGTAAACCTTTGCAGCTGTGTTGGTTCCTAAAAGGCCGGTATAGGACGTGCTTAGAGGTCATGGGACTCATGGAGCCCTCATAAGCCGGCGTAATCCCACTCCCAGAGGCAGAGACCGATATTGGCTCTCGGAGGCCGGTATTAGCCCGTAGGTGCCTGTTTGAAGCCTTCCGAGGGTGCTGGAAGAGCTATAAGGATTATGCAGGACACCAACCGGGAGGGGGGGGGGGCAATGTGCCGCTCTCAGAGTTTGAGAGCCCACGGGGTGTGGTATGAACCTTCAGAGACTGGTATGTTGTCATTAGAGACCTGCCTTGGGCCTTCACAGGCCTCAGAGACACATATGAGGTCCTCAAATGCCGACATTTGGTCAAAAGTCAAAGGTCGACAAAGAGCCCACAGAGCCCGATAGTATGTAAGCCTCAGAGGTTAGTATGGGACCTTTTGAGGTCGTTATGGATATACAAAAGGCCATCATGGGTCTCCTAGCCCTCGCCGGCACAGGGGGGGGGGGGGTGATACAACCCCCCTAAGGTTTTTCGCGAATAACTCGTGTAAAAAGCGGCCGATCGCGAGGAAACGTTCAGTACCCTCGCATTGATCAATTTTACACCTACCCTGAAAATTTCATGACCCTGACCCAAATGACCTTTGACCTGTGACCTCTTTTCTGAGACCATGTTTGGCCGGAATCGCGATTCGGCGTATGTCGGCTCGCATTAGCCGCGCGTTTGCAAGCTTTTCGTGGTTTCAAACGTTCAAACATGTGATTTCATGTTGCTCCCATACATTAGGGTGGGTGTCAAGGTCACCTGAAGGTCAGGTCAGGTCATTGACCTTTGGTGACCTCGGGTGACCTCGGTTCACTTTTTCGAGTTTTACATGTTTCTAGGCTAGTTTTTGGAGCTGAATTCGAGTTTAGCAACCATTTGAACATTTACGAAGTAGTTTTGGTGCCTTCGTAACATGTTACGAAGCTGTCAGAGGCGGTTGACACGTATTACGAATACCCGTCACAACTCCTACCGGTTGACCTGACCTGACCTGACCCGACCTGGTCTAAGTGCTTCAAGACATCATCTCTGATCAAAACTAACACGATATTCGTGATCAGCACCCCGGAAAACCACATAGCAGCCACACTTTACGACTTTCTAACAGATCCCGATTTTCCCGGTTTTCAGGTCATTGACCTGACCTGGAAGGTCACCCGATGACCCAGGACCTTAAAATTGGGTATCATCGGCTTCCTCTCGTGACGGGCAACACGCTCGTTTTTTCCGCGAAGCTCTAGCTCGATCAGGGGCCAAACGCGAGGGGGGGGGGTTCGTACCACCCCCCCCCCCCCTTGTGCCGTCGAAGGACGCAAAATGGCCTGTGCCGGCGAGGGCTAGAGACAGGCGTGAGGCTTTCAGAGGTCGCCTTGGTACCCAAACAGGTCAGCCTGGGCCCTCAGAGACCTGCGTACAATCTCAAAAGAATTACCTCAAAGGGGCATACACTCCGGATGTGGTTCTCAAAGGTCAATTTGGGCCGCTTATAGAACAAAATGAGGCCATCACAGGCGTGTGTGGTTAAAAAACTGACATGCGGCACCTAGAGGCCAGTGTGGGCGATGGCCGATGGCACCATCAAAAGCCACCGTGAGGTCCTCAGAGGTCCTCAGGTCCTCATTATTGGAGCTTGGAGGCCAGAATTGAATTCAGGACTGGGGGACAGCAGGTATAATATTGGGCCCTCAGAGGGTGGCAGGAGAGCCATCAAGGACGACATGGGACACTAAGGTCAAGAAGGCAGTGAGCTGCCCTCAGAGCCCAGAGACCGGCAGGTCTTTGACTCTCTGAGGCCGGTAAGTGTCCGGGGCCCATTGAGGCACATACAGGGGCGAACAAGTTGCTATGGTGATTGGTGAGGTCAAAAGATGTGTTGCCCCCTCCACCCCCAACCCCAAAAGGGATGGAAATAGGAAAGCAAAAGACGTTTTCCCTTTAATTTCCTTTGTAACTTAGTCCTGAGACTTACAAAGTCATACTAAATTCGTTTTCAGAGTTACCGAGGCTCGGATGATTGTTTCGCTAGCATCGCCTCTGTGAATGACTTTATCGAAGCTTTGAATTAGCCTGAATATCGACTTTCCATTCAATACCTGAGCGCTTTATTTGGTTCAGATCATAATTAGGTTAATCAGTTGGCCTTTTAGTCAGGCATGACGTGCCACGATTCGAGATATTCAACGATGTTGAAATCATTTCTTCGTATTCAACGGGCAAATAATTGTGGATGTGGAGCAGATCTTATAAGCAAAATGATTTTATACCACAAACCCAAAATACTTATATAGCTAATAGCTTCAATTCGTGCCCTTTATGCCATGGAATAAGTTTCTGGAGCGTGACCCCCGTAATAGATTTCGCTACTTTGGCATACCTGCTTTCCCCTCGAATATCCCATATCTATCGCCTCAATTCGCTTTATGGTGTCGCTGTGTTTGCGAGTAAGGCTAAATCATATGACAACCAGGATATAAATTATAAGACTTGTCAACTGCCTCTCCGCTGCCGTCTTGACTCCTAACTCCTAAGGCTGATAACGATGATCAGTTACAAACGCTAATGAACGAAACAATGCTGAAGGCAGAAAGAAGCCGTCCGTATGCTCATTGTCCACACACATATGTCTAGACATACATATTTCAATACGGTAAAAATCACTCCCGTCTATACCAGCAGTAAGTTGCGTGTGCTGACAAACTGTAGAAAAAAATGCTCGACTGACTAAGCCGATTAGACGCAGGGTTCATTGGGTCCTCAGCGGATAGAGGTCGTCGTACTACACGCACCATTTGCATACGGCTATCGGCGGGGAAAAAGCGGAGAACGATCGGTTGATACCGAGTCCAGCGGACAGCTGCAACTCTCCTCACTCCTCGTAGTACTTCTTATCGAATGTCTCGACCCGACGAATGTCTCTGACCTCACCTTAATCTTACCGAGTGGGTCAAGATCTTCCGCCGGAGTCACCGCGTGATTACGAGTCTGTGGCTGCGGCATCTCTCCCCAACCTAGAACCGCATGACCTTGTGTTCAATTAGCGAAACCGGCGACGGCGCGTGGACTTAGCGAGTGGCCAAGTTGTCGGACATCGGCCGCGGCATGCCTCGAGAGCCAAGGCTTCAGAAGTCCCGAGTCAGACGGGTCGTATCGTGAAATGGTGATTATATTTGCGGTGTCGGCGATGAGCGATGACGTCTGTGTAGTAGTAGTGGGTTTCACTTTCGATGTGTCTGGTCAGAAACAATGTGAGCAATTTGCTGACGCCCTCGCCATGGCAGTTGGTACCAAATGCACTTAGCAATACCCTAATTTCATTAAGTATATCTTTATAAATGGAGAAACCAAATCTGCTTTAAACATAGGAAAACAAATTAAACCTGTCTTGAATTGTTGGCCCGTTTCAGTGTCATTCTTCCCTGGTTGTCGGTGACCGGTCGCAGTGTCAGCCCTCCACGACTGCCGGTGACCGGTCGTGTCTCCGTGTCAGTGTCAATGTCAATCCCCGGCGCTGCAGGTGCACCGGTCCGGGTCATGCCAGTCCAACCAGTCTGAGAGAGGTCACGGGGGAGATGTGAGCCGGCTCTATCTGTCTGCAGGAGGTCGATTTCAACACCGCTGCAGGATGGGCCTAAGATGCGGGTCGCATATACCGGTCTGCGCGACCTGAGGCGTGCGGACGGGGAGGGGATAACCCGTTCCCACCTCTGTGACCGACTTGTATGAAGCGCTGGACAGAAGCGTGCATGTGTCTTGGGGGGCCGGGGACGCCCGAAGGTTCAGCGAAAGTTGAACCGAAACCGGGCTAGTTGAAGCTGATGTTATGTAAGATTGGAGTACCGAGAGAAACTCGTATTCCCGAGGACACGCGCAGCGAAAGTGCGATTCAAACGGATGGCGGGTGCAGTGTTATGGATCATTTACTTTGTCGGGCTTATCGGGGTTTGGAATATTTACTTCTGTGAGCTATAGTATATGTGTTATTGAGTTGTGTTATTGGGTATTAGCACCGTCGTAGTTCTGATAGCTTGATAGTCATTACCGTGGAATGAACTTACTCTTTTATGATCCCCTTATTAGTATCAATATATTTTTTGTATATCCGCTTTACTAAAATGTTTGTTATTTACGCAATAGGAAGATATTCAACCATTCATTCAATCGCATGTTCTGGGAACATAAACCGGATCCATAAATATGCCACGTAGTTTCTTCGCTCGAACCGTCTACTAAATTACATTACAAGTTAGGTGCTGTCTCACTGTTGTAACGATTAAAGTTCACAACAAAGCCGGTAATATTTCTAATCAATATTTGGGAAAGCTGAAGTGATTTTTTCCCGGACCACAAGCAATGTTTATTTACAGCGAAACAATAACGCGTCTCGTTCGTATGTCTACCACCTGGTTGCATTGTTTGGGGAAGTTTCTCAACCATGCTTCCGGATGTTCTTACCATAACAAGAAATATACTATAGCAAAACATTGATTCCGGAAAGGGAATATTCTAACCCTCATTGAATTGCATTGATAAAAAATGGACACCTACCTGGTTGATGAATGGAAAATCATATGATCAGTGAAAGCGTGAGATATATAAAGAAATATTAAGGTCCTATACCGTCTTCCTTGTTCGATAAAATTTGATTGTTAAAATAATCATGATATTAATGATAGAAATAAGTCTAAGAATATTTTCTTATCGGAAACGTCCAACTTGATAAGACCGGTGAATCCTGGCCCAGTGACCACTAAAATGTATATAAGGCGGCGAAAGCGACACCCAAATGGCACAGCATATTCACAAATGTCAAACGAAATCATCCATCGAGATCCGCCTCAAAATGATCTGTCCCGGTTGACGAAAACGTCACAGCACACTCAACTGGGCACAACAAAATGCCGCCGCTAAAAAGGCCTATCCGCAAGAAGAAGAGCCTTTCCAATTCATCATGGCGCCATGCCCACATATCAATAAACATGCCAAACACTTCATAAAAACACTTCCTTCTCCTAAAGTCTTTGGGAAACCTCCCCAGCAGTCCAGCTGCTTGCTCTCTTTCGCTCAAAGCGATAACCCGTGAGCCCTGCAATCACCGTCATGCACTCCGCATAAACAATATAACATCCGGTTCCCGGTACCAAGTCCAAACACGATGGCAGCACTATGCTCTGCTACATGTTACCGGAATCAGTCAGCTCAGGATGCGGCTCCCAACTGCCATCTCCGGTACGTTTGGCGCGCCTTTTGATGATGTCACGTGGCACCGTTTTACGGCCCCACACCCATCCAAAATGCGCGCATAGGTCAATGAACCCAGTGGTGAGATTGGCGCCGTAGCCAGGCAGTTCAGCCGCCCTGTAGTCCCAGGGGAAGACGTGATGGTAGTTGTGCCATCCCTCGCCCAGCGCCGCGATGGCCACGCCCAGGTTCTCCGCCGGGTGGATGTGGTCGTCGTACGGGTGCATGCCCCAGATGTGCGCAGCGCTGTTCACCAGCCACGTACAGTGCAGTGACGTCACCAGGCGGGCGGTGGAGATGAGCAGCGCGATGCTGAGACTCTCCCCCCAGGCCAGGTGCGGGATCAGCGACGGAATGATGAAGCTCCAGCTGAGTACCATCGGGACGAACCAGCTGCGCTGAAACGCCACCACCGGATCGGCCAGCAGGTCGGACAGGTCCACTTTGGCTCCCTGCCTACGAACCTCCGGGTGTTTGCGTACCATCAGCCAGCCGCAGTGCGCGAAGAAGAATCCTCGGGTGGCGTTATGCGGGTCAGCGTCGGTCTCCGAGTGGCGGTGGTGCAGCCGATGATCGCGCACCCACTCGTAGATGTCGTTTTGTCCGCTGATGGTGAACATGATCATGAGCACGACGCGGAGCGGAAGGCTGGCGCTGTAGGCGCGGTGAGCCCAGAGACGGTGAGCGCCGGCAGTCACGCCCAGACCGCTGGCGATCCCCCAGAGCCAGGCGTGGTAGAAGGTGCGCCGGTCGCAGTCGGTGAAGACATGCCACCAGCCGAGCGCAGCCATCACGTGAAGAACAGTGAGAAGCAGCATGCTGCGGGGAACCAGGATCCTCGGCACTGGAGTTGATGTTGCTGCAGGCTTTTCAGCTTCGGTGACCGGAGACACAGACGTGGCCAGCACCTTGTTGGCGTTGATGTCCGAGATGACGACCGGCTCGTGCACCGGCTCCGGCACGTGAGTATGTTCATCGACCACCTCCGCGGCGGCGTGGATGTTGGGCGGCATCTTGGTTAGCTGATGAGACGTGAAGCTGACTTTCACTCCACTCGACTCCAGCTCGAACAGCTACTTCTTGCTTCTTCTGAGATGTCCTCAGAAGCTTCTCCCTCCGACGCTCCTCAGATGTTTCTCTGAAGTTTATCAGCTGTCTGCATCCTCTAAGAGTCGCTCTCAGAGTTCAGACGTAGAGCGAAGTGCGCTCATCGGGCCTGTGAACTCTCTCGGGAGGGTCCGTCCTACCCGTTCCCTCCTCTGGATCGGACACCCAACAGTTTGCGCTGTGCCGCCTCGCACGCTTAAGTACACTCTCTCCGGTGACGTCACGCGGCCCGGCTGTGACGTCCCATACCAGAGTGATTCGGCTGCGGGCCGAGCGGCGGCCGGTCACGTGACTTATACCGGTACTGACCAGTAGTGGTCACGTGTGCCAGAATATTCCTGTTGGCATGAAGTCACGTGGATTTTGGGATTCCATCCTGTCTGACACGTGACTTGCGTGCATGGCCGATATGGTCGTTATGGCTATCAAAATTATAAGATGAAACGTACATCTGTTATCAGCATTGACGATAGGTTACATTATTCACTTATTGAGTGGTCTCAATAAAGGGTACGTAGACACTCAATGTTTGAACTAATGACTAATATTTTGAGCTTGAAGCACATGGATTGAACATATTCATTCCCTTAAAAATATAGTAAGGGTAAATATAGATAAGAGTATAGAGTACATCATATGAGCGCAAAGCTCTCATTACAGAACACAACTCATTGGCATATTTCTACCGTTTCTAAGCATTGTTTCTCACTGAAGAAGGTGACGTTCGCGGTTCGTAGTACGGATTTGAGAAGTGTTGAATCAAACTGGGAAAAACCAACAGAGTTTTATGTTGTGAGTGTGGGTGATGATGGGGATATGACAAATCAACATTTTGTGAAGACATCATACTTGATTAGCTGGTCCCGGCTCCAGTGATTCAGATGTCCATACACTCTCGACTTATTGGGCTTAAACTACCTTCAAAGATGATAAATTAGAAATAAATCAGCGATGAAATTCGGGAATCGATTTTGAACGGATTCTCCAGATGCAGAGCATAGTTTGCTAACAATAGCCAATAACCATCGAGCAAAAAGTGCACTTGAGGAAGTAGGCGAATGAAGCGTAGCGAAGGCAATTTTTTCGACACAAATGATAATTGGTGCCAGAGGCTCATTGCGTTTTCAGACGTAATTTCATTATTGCAGTGTTTCCCGCCAGATGTTTGTCCAATCGTTAAGGCACATATGCACCGATTTCGTATACTTATTGCAAGTTTTTGTGTGCTGGGAGTTCCCTCTTTGTTTATGATCCCGATGATCCCATGATGAGAGAGTGTGTATGTGTTGCACATTGGCTCACATGTTAACCCGCGACCTGGTGGGGGGGGGCTATTTTTTGCCCCCCCCCCCTCCAGACTTTTCGATATATCTCCAGAACCGCTGCGCCGATCATCACCAAACTTTCAGTACCCTCCCGGACATCAATTTTACACACTGTGACCAAAAATTTTTCCAAAGGCTATGATAGGTTGGCCGGGAATGACGTCAGAGTGACGTCATGTTCTGCCGTTTTCGACCCAAAAAAGGGTTTCGCGGGAAGAGCTGTCAGGCCTATAGCTTTGCAAATACAGAAAAATGATTAAAACATAAAAGCTGTAGAATGAACAGGGCTACAAAACTGCTATCTCGGATTTTTGAAATTTTTGGATTTTGACCCCCCAAAAATCAAAAAATAATTTTTTTGGATATAATAATCGAAAAATCCAAAAAGTTTTTTGAATTTCGCAAAAACCGGAATATATGTGATAGTCCTTACCGCCTTCCATCCACATACCAAATTTGAGATTGATACCTCTTTTTTGGCGAAGTTATAGCGAAAAAACTGTTCAAAATTGATGACGTCAAATTTTCAAACTCAATTTTTAGCAATTCTAGACCCCGTAGCGCAAAACAAAGACCATCATTAGACTCCCCGTGACGAGCTGCATCGAATCAATACCCATTTTATGCAATAATATCAACTTTAGAATTTGACCTTTTTGGCCTGACCTTGACCTGACCTTGACCTGCACTTCACCAGAAAGTGAGCTAAGCCGTACCTGATAGTATTATAACCAACACCATTGAGTTGGAAATGAAAAATTGGCCATAAAACATGCATCACACAACCTTAGTAAACTTGGGCTCATGTGACCTGACCCGTGACCCTTGGTGACCTGACCTGTGACCTGACCTGGTATTGCCAGTGACCTCTAATAGCAACATATCTACTAGGCAACTGACGCCCTATCGCTGATTCTCGACAAAATGCGTTTACCTCGGTGTAATAGCGCATTCCCTAGAAGACCCGTGAACGGTGAAACATTTCATCTTTGACCTGACCTGTGACGTCATCGGTGACCCCGAGGTCAATGAAATTTGGTTTCCTTCGACAAATTTGACAGGTCTTTCGAACACCGTTTGAATTTTGCGGATCCGTCCAGTAGTTTCGGAGATACGAGGGGGGGCAAAAATAGCCCCCCCCCCCCACCAGGTCGCGTTATAAACAGACCCCACCAGGGCGCGGGTTAAAGGGACACTCCCACCTTAACATTAGTTTTGAGTTGAGATAGCCAAATTGGTGGCCATGGCCTGCAAATACCGGTTTGGGCACTCACAACATCGACAAATGCTTTAATTCGGAGATATGGAATTTCAAACTTGCAGTTTTCGGATTCTAAGGGGCTAGTGCATTGGTATGCCCCCTTAGAATTTGTGACGTCAGCGGAGATCTAACGATTTTTAAATCTTTTACTAAAACGTTTGGTAGCACGCGGTGGTATATGCTGCTTTGCGCGCAACAAATGCCGCACTTTCAAATAAAGTCGCTAGGAGCAGCGGAGATCCCAAAAAGTAAACAAAAGTAAAAGTCTAATATCTTGAAAACCGGTGAAAATTTTGCGATGAACTTTGGTAGATATTCGTTTTCGCTCTTTCTGAACCGAGCGACATCACTTTCGTGCCAATTCATTAACTTTTTTGAAGGTGGGAGGGAGGGTCCCTTTAACTTAAAACCCGCGCCCCGTAGGGGGGGGGGGGCGAAACGGCCCCCTGTCCTTTTCCGTCGATATCTCCTAAACGGCTGGAGATATCGCCACCAAACTTTCAGGGCCCCTCTGGGCATCAATTTTACACATTGGGACCAATTTGTTTTCCAGAGGCTATGATAGGTTGGCCGCAAATGACGTCAGAATGACGTCATGTTCTGTCATTTTCGACCGAAAAAAGACCTTCGCGAGAAGACCTGTCAGGCCTACAGCGTTGAAGATACAGAAAAATGATCAAGACATAAAAGGTGTAGAATTGACAGGGCTACAAAACTGCTATCTCGGATTTTTAACTTTTTTGAGTTTTGACCCCCAAAAATAAAAAAGCACTTTTTTGGATATATTAGCCGAAAAATCCAAAACGTTTTTTGAGTTTCGAAAAAAAAACGGAATATATGTGATAGTACCTACCGTCTTCTATCTACATACCTACCAAATTTCAGATCGATACATCGTGTTTTGGCCAAGGTATAGCGAAAAAAAAAACTGTTAAAAAATGATGACGTCAAATTTTCGAACTCAATTTTTGGCAATTCCAGACCTCGTAGGGCAAAACAAAGACCACCGTTAGACTCCCCGTGATGAGCTGCATCGAATTGGTACCCATTTTATGCAAAAATATCAACTTTGAAATTTGACCTAATTTGACCTGACCTATGACCTGACCTTCACCAAAATGTGACCTAAGCTGGCCCCAAAGGCCGCCTAACCCACATAATCGCATTTGTCATGTAAATTGGACCATAAAACATGTATCACACGACACTTTCATATTGTGACCCCCGGTGACCTGACCTCGCTGTGACCTGACCTGGTATCAGTGACCTCAGATAGCAAAGTATGTGTTTGACGAACAATGTACCATCGATGGTTTTCAATAAAATACCAATTTACTCGATTTCACAACACATTTCTTGAAAATTGCCTGTGAACGGTGAAAATCCGAACTTTGACCTGAACTGTGACGTCATCGGTTTGACTTAGGTCAATGAAATTCGGTCACAAGGTAGTTCCCTGGTGGGGCTATCGAACGACATTTGAATTTTGAAAATCGGCCGGTAAATTTCCGAGATCTCAGGGGGGGGCGAAACGCCCTCCCCCCTACGGGTGGTAGGGTCCGCCGATAGCCCTACGGGGCGCGGGTTAACTAGCTACCGACAACGCTCTTGCGTTGCCTTAGGAAACCATAGTACTTAGAGACGTTATTTTGGCCGCAGACTTCATTGTTTTCGTTTCCTATTTTCTTTTGTACAACTCGCGTACGCTAGTACATGAAAATACATGACAAAAACACTTGCAGACCTAGGCTCTGTTTCAGCGCGTGACATTTCCTGATGCTACCGGTATTGGTGCTCGATTTCTGTGGAAACGTAAAAAAAGATGGCAGCAGACTTGCCAATTGCCATCATGGCAAGTCTGCTTACGTTTCCGTAGAAACCGAGCGCAAATACAGGCGGCGTCAGACAGCGTCAATGCGATGAAACAGGACTTAAACGTCTCATCAAGCAAGAGTCGTTTACAATTCGCCTTCTTAACGATTGCCGCTCCCCTCAAGTTCATGAGTGAATAAGGCACGAGACAAACAGTAAGAAGGCATTGGCAGCCAAGTCTGTAAAATATTTTGGAACGGATAGGATTTAGCTTCTAAATATTCGCGTGCGCTTTTCATTGCAGCACTTGAAATATTCTACCGTCGTTAAAGAAACGAACTTAAACAGCTTTTTCTAAGCAGTGTTGAAATCAGGAGGGAGGGCTTACAAGGCTTGCTCTGTGCATGTACGTACTATCATTCGTATAGGGTTTGTAAGGACCCAGCCTTACCAATAATTTCGGAATTTTAACATTAGCCCTACGGCTCTGCACGGTAAAAAATGCTTTGGTATCCTAAAATTGACTGTTAGAGTCCTACCCATAATTTCTGAAGAACAACGTCCGTGCGTATTAACGCAGTTACGTACCAGTCTACATACTCTGGTCCCATAACCTCCGTGTTGGGTTAAGTACGTTAAGAACTCCCTGTCCCGTATCTCGTATCCTCCTTGGAAATGTAAGCATAGTAAGCCTTTTAGTTCTGTATTCCCATTTGTGCTTCTTTGAGCTTGCGCAAGAAATATGGAAGGAGGCCATTTACCCCCCCCCCCCCCCCAACTTCAGCGGGTCACCGACTCACAGTGACGTTGTCCCAAATTCATTTAAGCATGTCACCACAAGCCTTTAGCTTATGTATGGTGAAACATTAAAACGTGATCGCGTGATTGATAAGCTTCATTGAGGCATGTATTATATAAGCAGTCACTTATCTCACTCACTGCGAGCGGCATTGTGATTCTGAATGGTTTTCGGATTACATGCCGATTGGTTGTTGCTAAGACGCTTTTCTATCTTAGTAGCATTTGTGGTATTTCCTGCAATGCATATT